AGTGCTGCCAGCCCGAGCCTGACGAGATGAACCCGAGTCCAACACTGAGGGAGTGTAAACTGTGTCGGTGGGGGTAGTCACCATAAGACAGGATCCGCGTCCTTGGCTCTGTTGTACTATTGGTATTGAATCTTAATCCTGGCATCGACTGTAACATTCACCACACTGTGTGTCCATATCGCGCGTTTCTAAAGCCGTAGGGCTGCTCTTGTTGGGTTCGACAGTTGGGGGCGGTCCTCCTTGGCAGACAGGGTTACCCTCGGTGGTATCTTCTTTTTAATGTATCGGTCGTATCGTCGGCTCTGTGCGGTGATGAGGGTGGCTGGCCCTTCCGAAGCGGGTCAGCAGATGGAGATTCGGCGGCTCCTCAATACGTGGGGGAAAGCGGATCTTGTGGAGAATGTCGAGGCCCTGTGGAGGGACCAGGCCCTGAACGATCGGAATAAGGTCCATGCTGTGTACCGCCTGGTGTCGGTCAACTGTGAAGATTCCTCTAAGCTTCTGGAGAGGATTCTGGATGAGGTTGTAGTAGAGGTCGAGGGCGGTCACTTTTCTCATCCGCAGTCTGTGGCCCGGCTCTGCTACTGCTGGGCGAAGGCTCGTCCCTCTACACCGCTGCCTGAGTGCCTCTCGGCTGTCCTCTGTGACGACAAGCAGGGAGACCGTGGCCGGCGAATAGGACGGCTCAACTCCGGAACGCTAGCGGGCCTACTGTGGGCCTATGCCAAGACCCCTGGGACGGCTGGGCACGAAAGTATCTTCTCCGTGGCTTCAGAGCATCTTGCTACTAACCTGACCTCCCTGGGTGGTACGCCAATACGGGAGGCATGTATTATGCTGTGGTCATTCGGGGCCTTCTGGAAGCATCGCCGTCCAGAGCCTCTGCCCTTCGAACTCCTACTTGCCTTAGCTGGTAGAATCCTGTCGGACCCATCAGCCCAACCGCGGGAGATGGCCACCGCGCTGTGGGCAGTGGCAACCCTGGAGCTCTGGAGAGGTGACCAGGACCGAGCAGTAGTGCTGATGTTACGACAGGCTATAGAGGCAATGCTTCCCGAGTGGCCATATGAGTTCCCTACGAGGGAGTTCAGCAACGTACTATGGGCGGTCACCAGGACAGAAAACCTGGTGAACTCGATGGAGGTACGGCAGCTGATGGAATCGGCGTGTCGGCTCATCGTGGAGCAAGAGGGAGGGAGACCATATAAAGTGGAAGAGCTCGCGATGGTCGCTACTGCTCTGTCGGGCTATATAGGGAAAGTGGAGAAAGAAGACCGGCACGCCACTGAGGCGCTGGTCACAGTCATGAACTCAGTCGCTTCCGTCGGCTCAGTGGACGGCAACCTAGCGACATTCGCTCAAGCCATGCTGCCCGTGGCGGACCGAGTCGATCAGGCTGCTAAGGCCAAGCTGCTGGTCACGGCAGAGGAAGCCTTGAAGGCATCTAGGTTGGACACTACGGCTCTGATCTCCGTGATTGACCTTTTCGGGGAGGAATCTCCGTCTGCGGCCCTCGAGGCGGCCTGGAAGGAAGCCATAGGACTAGTTCTACGGCACATCAGGGAAGGCCGGCCGGTCGAGATCCGATCACTGGGCAGTGCAGGAGCGCGGAAGGTGTGTAAACAGCTGGGGGTCCTGGGGGCTCCTGGCGACCTTCCAGGAAATCTTCAGGCTAAACTCGTTGGCCATCGCTTCGCCTCAGTCGTGGAGTACGTCATTACACCGGAGGACGGCGATGGGGAGTCTGTCTCTGGCCCGCCCACGGTCTTCCTCCCAGTGCCTCAGAATACCTCTTCTGTCACAGTGCTGACGCCCTACCATCACGGCTGGGTCCGCAACACGGAGCCAGACTTCAGAGCTCTAGAGGAGGTGGCGCGAGTATTGGAGGCCCATCGAGACACCCACGACTGCGGCTGGGTCAGACTGGTCCTCAGCCGGGCACCGTGCGTGTCCAGCCTGGCTGCGATGGCTCAGTTCGTGGAAAGGTACCCCGACGTTGACCTTCGAGTTTGGTTTCACCCTCTTCCATGGAAGTAGACGTGCATAACGTGATTTGTTTCTTGCCATCCTCAGAGTTTCGTTGATCGATTTCATCAGGCTCGAACTAGAACACAAGCAATCTTTCTATGGCCGCCGCTTCGGTGACTCTGACGGCCGTGACGGTGGCACGGGAAGCATGGCCTCGGCACTCCTGCTTGTTGTCCCCGGTTGACCTGCCCGACGCGAGGATGGTCCTCGTAGAGAGCAGTAGGAGTGGCCATAAGGTATGTGGTGTCTAGCCAGCGTCTTCATGTTTGGGTACGGTTATCTCAGATCTGTCTCTGGTCTCTGCGGTCCCGCAAGGTCGAGGCTGGCCGGATAGAGTTGCCCACCTGGGCCCGACGACAGCTGGGATCAGAAGTGACGGTCACCCATCTAAGTAACATCACAATCGGCAGAGA